TGTTCAGTGCAAGAGGTTTTTGTTGATATTGTTATTCCGCAGCAAATAGAAACAAAACCGTCAAACTTTTTCCCGCTAAGTGGAATCGATTTCCCCCATCAGCAGCAAGGTAGTTCCTCACATTGTAGGTTTAAAAAGGTTTTAATGTGGTTTTTGTAGAATTGAATGAATAATTTATATACATTGCGCATTTCACACCAAATTGGACTAATAAGCGCGTTTTCACTTTTTAAAAAGTGTGATAAAATTGCGTCTAATGGTCGTGGTGTCTTCGGTGCACTTATTCCTTATGATGCAAGCAATAAGTGCTCCGAAGACATCAACACGATTTGACGGAAACGTGCACTTTTATCACACTTTTTGCATTTTTATTACAGTCCAGTTTCAGCTGCAATCAGCAATATATGGTTGAATGAGAACCAGTGTTTTTTTATATATGTATTTACATGTACAAACTGTAAACAGTTTCAGCCAGCTGCTTGCACAACCAAATAATTTCAAACTAAAAAGGGGGCCAAAATGGAACCGCTTAAGATTTGTCGTAGGAAAATGAAAAAAAATTACACCGGTTTATCAAGACTAATACACTCTGTAAATGTTATTATCGTGTATTTAAGTGAATATTAATAAAAAAATTTACCGTTTTTATATTTGTCTATCTATAGATTGATATCGAATATGAGTTTCTAAATCCAGGTAAAGGAAATAAATTGCTTTTGTTGTGGACTTCATTTGCTGATAAATTTTACCGTCATGCATCGACCGTTGTAATCCGAGACGCACCATGTTTGGAAATTGTTCAAAAACTCAAGCAGCCGGATATCTCCCAATGTAATAATAATAATTTTCATCCAACAATACATCATTATTTCATCAATGTTACTTTTTTTAGGTTCTCGGAACTTCCTGCTGTACAAGCTCTTCCCATGTATAGTCAAACCCAAACGCGTGGGACATAAAGTATTGCCATCAATTATCCAAGCGCAACAGGACTCCGTGATTCATTGTATAACTGCTAACGACATTGGCCCTGCAATTGAAGAACTAAAAGGCCATAAGGATACGTTTCAACCAAAAATTATTGTCGTTGGGCCGGAAGACACCAACCTTTGTCAGTTTTACGTTGTGAAGGACAATATTTTCTGGAAAACATGCTCTTTCTTGAAGTGCATTGATCTGGTGGTGAAAAGCTGCCTAGTGTTTGGACTGGACTTTTCTCCATATAATGAGCTGTTTTGGGTATTCGTCTGAACACACTTTCTGAAAGAAGAGAAAGTGAAACACTCCAAATCCAGCGCCATCATCAACCTCGAGCACATCTTACAGCAATGATATGCTTTATTTGCAACTCAAGTTTCAGCGAGGCAGCGATCCTGATCAAACATCTGAAGAAAATTCATGGTACACCGAGCTGTTTTACATATAAGTGCGTTCATTGTAATCCTAATCTTAAATTTCAAAATATCTATTGTTACCAAAGACATCTTAAGTTAAAGCATGAAGCTAAAAAACCAGAACAAGAGACAAATCCAGACTTTCATGGAGAATCTAGCTTTGGGCCCACAGAAAAACAAGCCGCAGAAAGTCACGAAAGTACAGAAGAGACAAATGTAGGCGTTCATGTAGAATCTAACTGTAGATCTGCAAATAAACTTGTAGAAGAGGATGAATCTGTTACAAAAACTAGAGATGACATGCTAAATAATGTGAGGGAATCGATTTTTTCATTTACCCTTGGACTTCATAACAACAGTAATTTAACTAGAAAAAATGTGATTGATATACAAACCGATGTGACCAGTAAAATAATACGACCAATGCTACAAACAATATCAGATGCTACACTACTTCACATACCAGATGAGAGCAAAAAAATCGAAATTCAATCTCTATATGATAGTTTATCCAATCCATTTGATTTCATTGCAACTGAGCATCGCATGTTTTCTCAATTGATAAAGAATGATTTGTTCAAGCCACCAAAAATGTACACAATTGGAAATGAACTTGTGGAAATGGTGATGCATGGAGAACCCACAATAGATTTAGAGCAAGTTAGAGGATGCATCCTGCCGATTAAATTCCAGATAAAAAAGTATTTTGAGACGGGGACTATTTTTACAGAAACAATACAACACATGGAAAACCTCGAAAAATCAGATACAATAGATAATTTCATAAATGGCACTTTGTGGAAAGAAGTTAAGCTAGGTTATTTAAACCGTATCGTTATTCCGTACTTTCTGTATTCTGATGATGCCGAAATATGTGATCCTTTAGGATCAAATGCTGGGACTCACAAAATTTGTGGCTTCTACTATCAGTTCCTCACTATTCCAACTCATCATCTGTCCAGATTGGAGAATGTATTCGTAGCAGCTTTTATAAATTCGAATGATTTTGCTGGATATGGCGTAGAAAAGTCAATTAAACCGCTTGTTGATGTTCTAGTTTCACTTGAAAATGAAGGCATAGATGTTCAAGTTGGAGGCAAAACTCATCGGGTGTATTTTGTATTAGGCGCTTTATTGGGTGATAATCTTGGCTTAAATATGCTCATCGACTTTACAACATCTTTCAGCTCGTTTTACTATTGCCGATTTTGTAAAAGAAGCAAGGCTGAAATGGAGAATGATGTTGTAGTTCACTCGGAGTACATTGAAGATGTAGAAAACTACGAAGAAGACATCACGGCTAATGATTTTCGTAAAACGGGAATAAAACGTAAATCTATTTTTCATGAACTTAAATACTTTCACGTTACCAAAAATGTTGGAGTGGACCTTATGCACGATATCTATTCTTCTGGTGTATGTAAATATGATTTAATGCTAGTTTTAAATTATCTACTACATAATTTAAACATAACTCTGGAAACCATAAATTATCGTAAACAAATGTTTAAGCTCGGATCATCAGAAATGAAATACTTGGCTAAGCCATTCACAACAAATCATATCAAGGAGGGTAATTTCAAAATGTCAGCAAGGCAAATGATGAGCTTTGTCCATTTTTTTCCTTTAATAATCGGTGATAAAATTCCTGAACGCGACCCCGTATGGTTATTTTTTTGCTCACTATTGAAAATAATTGATCTGATTTTACTTCCCAAATACGATAGAGAATTGCTCGAAAAATTGAAAAACGAAATTGAGAATCATCATACCGAAATCCGTACAGCATCGAAATCCGTACACTTCATACAAAAAGTAGGCGTTTTGTATGATATGTACGGATTTTGATTCATTTCTTAGGTGTACACAATATTTGAAGTTATTTCCGGATGCGAAGCTAAAACCCAAATTTCATTTTTTGCTACATTATTGCGATTCTATTAAAGAGAAAGGCCCTGTTAAATACATGAAATGCTTCAAATTTGAAGAAGAGCACCAACAACACAAGACAGTTGCACGAAATGTAAAGACAAGAAAGAATATTTTACAAACTATATCAATTAAAGCATGTCTCAAATTTTCAAATAACATTTATACCAATAGTTTCTTCAAACATGACATTCAATGTGAAAACTATGTACAGTTACAAATAAGTCAATTAGATTATTTTAATAAACTTAATGTTTCTAATATCGATCACCAGACAGTGAAAATATGTAAATCTGTTATATATAAGGGTACGTTTTATCAAAAACATGATTTTTTAACAGTATCAAATGGACAGAGTGTAAAACTGTACGAAATTCATGACACAATCATTATAACAGATAACAAATTCCAGTTAGTTGTTGCTGAATATCAGATCGTAGGTTACAGAGATCATTTTGTGTCCTACGAGGTAGGATCAAAAATGGATAATTTTGCCATGTTAGACGCAGATATTTTTGACGGCCCTCCAATTCATGTTTACCTACTGAACAATGGTAAAAACTACATACGTGTTAAGAAATATTTTAATTAGTATAGTTAATAACCTGTATAAATGCATTATTTAAAAATAAAACAAACAATATAATCTTTCTGAAACCTTTTATTTTTATTACAATCACATTTTACAACAGAATTATGAAATGATTCATGTCATTTCAAAAATTTTATCATTTTATTATGAGAGTACATCACAGTTATCTCGAATGTCAACACTTTTATTTGGAAAGTATTTATTTGTTCCTACAAAATAAGCAGATTTTCACATTAAACACGAAATGCTTTGGATTTGACATTTAAAAAGTTTGAACGAGAGCAGCACATTTTAAAATAAAATTATGACCAAGCTCTTGATGTGAATGTTACTAAACATTTGCAGGGAAAGCTTTGAACTCTCTACCAAAAAGAACTAATGCGTACTCTTATTTTAACCAACGTTTTTCTTAAATCTGCAAATGTTTTTTTTTTTGTGTGTAGATATATTCGATGTTTTGTGCTCGATAGGCCGGGAATGGGCGCTTTAGGCTGAAGTAGATTTTTCCCTTATTTACCCTAGGTAAACCCTTTGCATGAAATCTTCAGAATCGTCATAAATCTTATTTCTATCTACTCAGTATTCGCGCAGCTAACCACAGTAAAACAAAATTCCTGCATCATAGATATAGAGTCGCTCCTTTCGGTTAGATCTCACCATAAGTGGATGAATTCTGTTTTAAATAATTAATTTAAAAAAATACATCGAAACATTATACAATACAACAAATTTTAAACTGCATTCATCATAAAAAGCAAGAACGCAGCATCTCACTTTTTCAACTGTCATTTTAAATCCACCATCCATCGACATTGGAAGCAAAATCGTAAAACTTGTTTCCTATTTGCCATTCCCCTGCTGTAAACGGTTCTCCGCGTAACCAACGCTCGAGTGTGCGCACTGTCATACCTCAAAGTTCGATCCCCTGATGTAGATGCCTTTCTTCAGTTTGAGTATGTTCGATAACTACCTGTGCTGCCCCTCGTTGCCTCCACTGACCTTTACCTTTCCCCTGCTATTCCGATTTTCAGGCAGTCAACCAAACGAGGTCCATCAGTGAGAGTATGTTGGCTTTTGCTGCTACCTCTGTCATCGTCGTCGTGCCCACCATAATACAGTGTCAGGTAGTGAGTGAGTTAGGAGAGTCGCAGCCAGTCAGACAGATAGGCAGAACCCAATAATCCCTGGTAGCAAAAGCTCGGTCCTAGATGTGCATCACGACGACGACCGTCGGTTTGTAGATAGGTTTCTAGTAGGAAAATGTTTTCATTCATGTGCACCACCAGAACTAGGCGAAAATAATGTCCGACTCGTACCCATTGCATGAGTGCGTTTTCAAGGGTGACACTCGGAAACTGTCCCAGCTACTGCGGACACACGAACCCTCGGAAAAGGACAAACATGGTGAGTTTGCACAGTAACACTCCGGACGAGGAAAAGTTTGCTCGCGCTCGTGGTTTGTGGTTTGTAGGTTGTGGGAATTTCCTTCTACCAACCACCGTGTCATTCGATCGTTTCTGTCTACGCGACAATCTATCTATCCGATTGTACAATGATATAGATTTTCCACCGACTATATAAATACATCATCAGCAGAAACTGGAAAAAGACTTCATGCATCGATAATCATAGTCGCAAGCGTACAACTTCCACACCCCCTTGCCAAGATAGTACGCCACTTACTATCGAATCGCTTTTTCAATGTTTTCACCCCTCCCCCCTCCGCGCCTTCTTTCGCGTGTAGTTCATGCCAAGTCGAGGTGGAGGTCTCCTATTTTATTGATAAACAAACCATTAAACTACCTATATCCTCTACAACCAACGCCTCCAGAGCGAGTAAAAACTTGAATCGTATCGGTTTCCTGGTGGTTACCGTCGGTCGCATCCTGAAAAGAAAATTTATAATCTCTGTATTTTTAGGCAATACCCCGCTGCATCTTGCGGTTATGCTGGGCAGGAAAGGTAAATATAGCCATCCGTATAGTCTGGTTGTTGAATGCTGCGTTCCGTTCCGTCACCGAGCGAGTGGTCCATACATACCACCTTATCTACGTGACAATAATGGTTTCGGTGAGTCACAAAGTGGCGATAGGCACACAAGGGGAAAACAATGTGCCAATTTCATCAGTAGTACGACTAAAGTGCTAAATTTGACGCAGTCTGTTCTGATAAAAATCGAGGTGATAAACGAGTGAAAAGTGTCCGCAGCTACGATGATGTGTTGCAACGTACAACTACGTACCTACAGCAATTCGGGGCTGACAACAAACACAAGTTCAGACTGAACTAGACCGAAAAGTGAGGTTGTTGTATTTTGTGTTTGTTCTCGACGAATGAGAGCATGGTGATATTCTAGTATCATTCGTTTTTAGATATGAAACACATGTTTAAATATTGGAATTAGTGGGTCATGACTAAGGTGAGACGTAGAATTACCACTTTTTTATAAAAACACTTCAAATTCATTCACGTAGTTTGTGTAGATTTATCAAATGTAACAGGAGATATAACAATATAACCATCGGGTAGGGGAAGTCTTCTTCTACTCGATGAGGATGCGTGGGCGAGCCTTGAATTTCTAGAAATCATCGATAGAAGTCATTGTTTACAAAAGCTGTTAGGCCCTAATTTCAGTTCTATCTAGATTTGAATGACTATTATTCTTTTTGCTAAATGTCTATCATTGGCGACAGCATTACATATGTTTGCATTTAAATTTGTTGCGATTTTTTTTTTAATTTCTGAATATTGCGCGTTTCACACCAAATTGGACTAATAAGCGCGTTTTCACTTATTAAAAAGTGTGATAATACTGCAAGTTTACGTCTAATAGTCTTGGTGTCACTTATTCCTTATGATGCAAGCAATAAATGCTCCGAAGACAAAACGATTTGACGGAAACGTGCACTTTTATCACACTTTTTGCATTTTTGGGATAGTCCAGTTTCAGATGCAATCAGCAATATGTTACCTATTTTCACGGCTGATCATGCCGGAGTCTTTTTTGATTGGGTCGTATGTAATATTTTGTCAATTAGGGAAACGATGTGTTTTGTTTTGGTGAACAAAAATTTGTTAACATTTTCAATTAAATAGATAATTCCTTCAAAATTCCCATTTACTAACACAAAGGTGCACTGTAAACAAAGGTGCAACCGATAACTACATCCTGAATTTTTCTGGTGTTCGGCGGTGTAGCACCGGTATAGCTACACCGCAAAAACGAAAACGACATAATTATAAAGCGAATGAATCGTTGCTATTGAAGTTTGCAACGATTTTTGCCTGGAATTATTAATTATTTTGTTGGATATTTGTTCTAAAGTCTCAACATTCGAAATTCTATGTACCTCGGTAGTACCACCGGTTGGAAACCAACAATTTAAAATTGGCTCACTACTTGACTAGCCTATTGGTCCCAAGCAAATCGATTAACATACCCCATTCTAGTCGAAATTCTTGTACTACACTATGTTTGTTTTGATTCGCTATGGAAGTTTGACAGATAAAATGAGGGGTTCGTGGATTTTCCTATGTTTCGAGGGGTGAATCGATTAGCTTGGGACCGAAGATAGTACCAGAGCTGAGCCAAAAAGTTGAGCACGTATCTTCGGGACGGTCTTAGAGTTACCTCTATGGTACTACACCGTTTGTGATGGCCGAAGTGTTGACAACGCGAATAAGTCGATTTTTACCGAAAAATTCGGTAAAAATGCTATGGTTCGGCAAGCCATTTGTGAGTGGGGTATGCTTTCCAAACAGTTTTTTGACAACGGAAACAATGACAACCGATGTTTACGTGTGTGAGTGTTTAAACAAGCGTCTGTTACCCATGATCCGCAGACACGACGCTTCAGTACTGTTTTGGCCGGATTTGTTGTCGGTTCATTACTCCAAGGACACGGTAGCCTGGTATAAAGCCAACAAGGTTCAGTTCGTACCCAAGGCGATAAATCCGCCAAACTGTCCCCAGGCCAAGCCAATCGAAACTTTTTGGGCCCTGACCAAAGCATATTTGCGGAAACATGTAAAGGCAGTGGATTCCGTTACAAAGTTTGCGAAAAACTGAGAAAAAGTATCCAAAATGGTTGGAAAGGCATCTGTGCTGAAGCTAATGAGTAGCGTGAGATCAAAAATCCGCTCTTTGGTTTACGACTGATCGGATCTTGGATTTTATACGTTTAACTGTAAGAGAATACTATAGAGGACATGAATACAAAACAAAAAACAAATTTGCTGTAAACAGAGTATCGTTATCATTTTTTTTTTTAAATCGTGCTTAGACATTCTGGGACACCCTACAGTAAGACCCAAATTGAAATTATGGGAATCCCCGAATTGCTTAGCAAGTTTCTGAGCATTGAACTGTTTTGTTTGTATTACTTCGCCGTGGCGTTAACGATTTACATAGTTGAAGATGCTAATTTCAAATAACAGACTAAAGTGGTCATTTTTATACGATTGACTAAAGTGGTCATTTTTATACGGTAGTGTGAAAATTGTATATAAAGAGTAGAAAGTGAGCAATGACAAGGGAGGAATCGGGTTGATAATCTCTCTTTACCAAACTCCTCAGTTGAAGAGGGATGGTGAGGGTATACTCTCAAAAAGTTAAATAGCTCGTCCTCATTATCTTTAAAAAAATTATCCAAATTTCAAGTAGAATTATGTTGGCTAGAATTTTGATTTCTACCAGCTGCAATAGCAGTATAGCTAGCTCAAATTACTCGCTGAACATTGTTAGCAGCGAGAGGAACAGGTAGATGAAGAATTTGAAGAAGGAGTGATATGTGTACCTACGGGTACGAATGTAGAATTTGTTCCTCGTTTACCGTTGTTAACAGCAGAGGAATTTGCACCTAGTCGGGAACATGGCGCTTTTCCTACATGTCGCTTAGAACTAGATTGTAGGATCACTTTGCGAGTCTTATATTCCCAAACATTTGATTTGTGGTTTTCACCACAATTTGAACAATTCAGTTTTTTAGGATCTTCCTTTTCAGTTTAGCTGGTATGTAGCAATTTTTGGTTCCGTCACCCCATCCTTGGCACTAACGGCACTAGGTGAGATTTTGGAAATTTCCTCCAGTCTTCCTGAAGTGTTACCTCTTCACTCGGATTTGGAGCATAAGTTTGCTTTTTCTAAAGCCTTAAGGTTGTTTATTTCACTGGACTTGAAGTGAACTAAATAAAAATCATTGAAAATCTCGTTGCGTGAATCGCCAGGACGGGATTGCAGATTCATTTTGATTACTTGGACAGGCTCAACTCCAAGTAATTTAGTCAATTCATCTTTGATCTGATCCAACTTGAGAAGGCGTTTGAATTCGTCCAAGGCTTCAGCCAATACACGGCATTCACCCCTACGGCCAATTCGAAATGAAAACTTAAATTGAACGAAGTTCAAAAGTTCCTTACGAACAGCAAGGAAATCGAAAGTACATAGTTATAACAACAAGGAGAACCTTTTCCTTTTTGGCATTAAGCCGGGAATGTTTAATGGAATTTTGCCCGGATAATAGATCATTCAATTCATCCGTAAGCATATCAAATTGATTGCTCAATTTAATTTCATCAGAAGGGGATCAAGCGATTGCCCTTTTCTTTTGCGCTTAGAACGGCAGAACCAAGTTTCTCCAAATCGAGATTACTATAAGAATCCGAAGGATCAAAGAGGAATTATCTAAATCGATATTCAAGCCTGATTACCTCGGGTAGGGTCCAAACAAGGACCAAAGAGGAATAAGAGTCAAACAAGGTAGAAATTGTACAGGTAGACAACTGAAAAGTGCTGTTTAAATTTGTTGTTGCTTTAGGTAGCAGTAATACCAGGGGGTGGAAACTAACGATTTTAAATTGATTCACTGCTTGAGTAGCCTATTGGTCCCAAGTACTTCTATGGCGTACCCCATTCTAGTTGAAATTCTATTACTACACCATGTTTGTTTTGATTCGCTATGAAAGTTTGACAGATAACATCAGGGGTGTGTGGATTCATGCAGAACATGCAGGGGTGAGTGAAATAGCTTGGGACTGCTTGGGACCGTTGTTCTGGTACTGAGTGAGCCAAACATAATAATGATTTTCTTCGGGACCCAGTGGTCTTAGAGTTACCTCTATGGTAATACCATAGAGGTAACTCTAAGACTACAAGGTCCGGAAATAACGTGCTCAACTTTTTGGCTCTGCTCTGGTACTCTCTTCGGTCCCAAGCTAATCGATTCACCCCTCGAAACATAGGAAAAACCAATAATCCCTCATTTTATCTGTCAAACTTTCATAGCGAATCAAAACAAACATTGCGTAGTACTAGAATTTCGACTAGAATGGGATACGTTAATCGTTTGCTTGGGACCAATAGGCTAGTCAAGTAGTGAGCCAATTTAAAATCGTTAGTTTCGTATTGATTGTTGGTAATACCAACAATCAATACGAAACTAACGATTTTAAATTGGCTCACCACTTTAGTAGCCTATTGGTCCCAAGCAAACGATTAACGTACCCTATTCTAGTTGAAATTCTATTACTACACTATGTTTGTTTTGATTCGCTATGAAAGTTTGACAGATAACATCAGGGGTGTGTGGATTCATGCAGAACATGCAGGGGTGAGTGAAATAGCTTGGGACTGCTTGGGACCGTTGTTCTGGTACTGAGTGAGCCAAAAATAATGATTTTCTTCGGGACCCAGTGGTCTTAGAGTTACCTCTATGGTAATACCGTAATACTTTCTTCAATAGTAAGCAAATAGATTCGTACGGCAAGAGAGCACGATGCGGACAATAATGCATTATGATTTTATTTTATGTTGAAGGATGATTCGTTAAGAATATAAATGTCGCGAACGAACATGCAAGCTTGGCATATGACCGACTAGTGTTTTCATGTGTATCCTGAACAATATCAATCCCAGTCGGCAAAACAGCTCTGATCACGGAAGTAAAGCCGTTGGTCCTCGGTTC